GTGGTGCAACATTCTATTTAGTGTTTTGCTATTTTTGTTTAAAATCCACTTAATAATGGCATATTATAATAATGAGTTCACATGTATGGTTTTGAAATTCTTCAATGTACTCACATGTAATGGATCATGAGTGTTTATTATACTACAGGAATAAGAATACATCTCAACTTCACCTCTTCAAATAGATAAATAATGGAAATTGGAGAGCCTTTATGTGAAAATTAACCTGGGGCTTTGCACAGAAGAGCTAACTTTTAACAGCTAAGTTCATTTGGGTCACATTATATACTGAGAAAGCATATGGTTTTTGATTAAACATATGGAGTGTTTATGAGATACTTTATTCAGTTTACAAATGAAAGCAGTTTCTATGGAAAAAAGTACTGGAACTGGATGAAAACTGTGTCCAAGTTCTAGCTTTTTATAGTGCTAATCATACAGGTGACAGAATGTTATTTAATCCTTGGTGAAAAGGAGAAAATAATACTTGCTCCTTTGCCCCCAGAGGATGACTGAATCAATCCAGGCCCAGGAAGTAGACAGAACATAGATGCTGAACTAATAGTTAACTAGGAGTAGCATCATTGTTAATCTGATGGCTAAAAGAGTAAAAAGTGAACTCCAAATGATTGGTAAGGTGGTGCTGTGATTCAAATGTGGTTTGTTCTATGTGTAAGGGCCCTATGTTAGAGGCTTTGTTCCCAGGTGGCAGTAGTAGGAGTTGCTATGGAATCATTCAAAGCAGGCCCTGGTGGGAGTCCTTAAGTCATTGAGGGCTTGTACCTGGGGGAGATTAAGATATTTCTTGTGGTGACTGTGGTTCAATCTATGACAGGACAGTTAGAAGAGCCTAAGTATGACCCTGTCCAGTCTTGCCCTCTACTGAGGTGTGATTTCTTGCTCCTTCTGCCATTGTAATCCACCATAAGGTGACACAGCCCTCCCCAAAATTTAAGCCATGCTGTTGGTCTAATAAGGTGGCAAAAATTGGAGGCAGCTATCATTTCTGGGACTGAATAAATAGAGGGAAGAATTTAGAACTATGACCATTGAGATCCCTGGAACTGAGATGGACTCACTGATGATGAGCTTGGGCAACAACACCCATCGGTCTGAGTCCAGTCTGTAGAAGGGATAGGAGCAGCCTAATGCTGGTTCCTTGAAAGATGTGTGATAGGACTGTAAATATTGGAAATACTGCAAGCTGGTTTCAGCTGCTACTACAGGAAAGAAAAGCTGCTGCTTGGTAAAGCAAATAGTTAGGGCAATGCCTTTGTGAACAGCAGGTAGCCATCTACTCTCTTTGTTGGAAGAGCCCAGGACAGGGCTGGGAGAGCAGAAGTATAGTCTTGAGATTCACATACTAGAATCACAAAGCAGATTATAGAAAAATGGGCTTGGAGTTGAGAAACAGTCACTAGTACAGGATATGAAATGCTTTGTAACAAGAAATAAAAGAAGTATGGTTTTGCAATGGGAAATTAGAATTTTATAATCAATATTTTGTTCTCTTACAACTTGAAAATTAATAGTGGTTTAGATTTTTGTTTAATGATTCTGTGTTAAATATCTTCCCAAGAACATTGATACTCTTAAATGCTTCTGTGGTGTCAAATATCTTCCCAAGAGCAAGTGCTTCTTCAACAGTTACATCACACAGAGCCTTATTATGGTTCGGGCTGTATAACTTATTCTGCTATCATAAAGTAAGAACTAGAACATTAAGGCACAATGAAGTAAGCTTAGAATAAGGTGAAGTGTGATGAGAATTTGATCATGTTGGTATTTGTGATGTATGAGAGACACTGATGTGATTTTTAGTTTTTTTGTTTGTTTGTTTGTTTTGCCAAAGAAAATACTTGGAGAAAGGTGACAGAGAAGACAGATACTGAATGTTTTGCATGATGCATGCTGATTTATCTTCAATGTATCTTCTACAAATGGTAATTAAAACAAGGACACCAATTGTTGAACAGAGAATGTGACAACAATGATTCTACTGATATTATTTTGCTTCCATAAAGCTAGGGCATCCTAGTGTGTGTTCTTGAGGTAATATTACACTGAAAATCATCTATTCAAATCTTTGGGAAAAGGCTAAAAGAACAGCCTGTTCTTAACAGTGGAAAGCAACATCCAACCTGTGTTCCTCAGCCTCACATCTCTTAGTAATTTTCTTTCTGTGGATTGTTGCCTCTAAGAGCCTGAGAGGTGGTGGTGCATGATTATTTTAAAATCAAATCTAGTGTCTTTCTAAAAACACAAACAAATACAAAAAGACTTTATCTCTTCCATACATTGAAAAGAAGACAGAAACACAGCAGTCAGAGAGTTGTGGTGATGATGAATTTTTTTTCAACAACTTTCTCTGACAATAGTGATTTCAGAAAGACCTGGAATTATTTGATTGAAAAATCTTGGATGCTTTGTCTCTTTTTAAGGTGTACCTGAAAAATAAAGAAGTAAAATGTGATTCCTTGAGAGGGGCGAAATAACCTTAAAACGCGACTTTTATAGAGAACAATTCCTGATACTATTAGGGTAGAGTACTATCAGAGTGGTTAACAGGGTTCTTTTTCTATTTTCTCACAACATTTTATGCTTCCAAGAGTACACTGTTAGTATGTAGGGATTTTTATAAAATACATTTTCATAAATTATTGATGGTGGGTAAGGCCTGTATTTTACATTTTTTAGTCAAGTATTCTTAAGACACTGCAAGAAAATGGAAAAACTGATCCATGAAATTTTTCGGTGTCCAAATCTCTCTCCATTTTTCAACTATTTGCTGAGTAGTCTGACTTTCATTCTCTTACAGGGCCATTTAGTGCTAAGTTGCTGTAAGAAAGTATATCTTTCTTCCCACGAATATAACTTACAAAGAGATTGATGACAGATAATTTAAAAATAGCATTATTTAACATTGTGTTTCCCTTTCCCCCTTATTTAGAAAGTTACGTACATGTACTTTTTTTTTCTCTTGTCTTGCCCACTGCTATTCTTTGAGGGGGGAGGGCTAAGAGGGAGATAAAAAGGTGTGCTGAAAATGGGCTGTCTCCTGTGAGATCAAAATTTGTATTAAATAGAGATACAGTGCTGATCATAGACTCATGTTCATTTATTTTAACTCAGACGGTAAGTAAACGGCTGTCACAATGTCAGCTTAGGTAACAGAGCATGTAGCAGTAACTAATTAATAGCCCAATGTGGTAGAAATTTAGAAGAGGAACAAGAAACCTTTCTTTCTGAAGGAGTATACAACACAAGAGAACTAGCATCTGCTCTTCATTCCTCATTGGTGCCGGCAAGGCTGAGCTGTAAATACCAGCTTTGCGTAGCAGCAGCCTCCAGCTCCCAGCCCGGAAATCACTCTCCCCTCTGGCAGAGCAGCTCTTGGGAGGAGGCACTCCCTGAAGTTGGCATCAGGGGATTCTCAGACAGATGAGGCTTTGCTCTGGTAACCTTCTGTGGCAGTAGAGGGAAGGACTCTTCCTTCAAACTGTTCACTAGGGACATGTTAGACAGCCATTGCCTTGAGTTGAACCAGTTGTGATTTGCAGCCCTGGCGTGAAGTTATTTCAGATTAGTGCATGACCAATTCATACTGACAAAGAGGTTATTTTCCCGCTGTATAGCCTATATCTGCACTTGTCATTGTGAGGATAAGAGAAGAGGATGAAGAACCTCCTAGTTGTTAGTGATTTCCAGTGTCTACTTGATCTTCCATGTTGGGGAAGGAATGGAGGAGGGGAGAGTAGCCGTGTTGAGGCTCCAGAATGAACCTGATAATCCACAATTGACCAGATTCTTCCTCTAAATAAAATATTTACCTTAAACAATACAAAATACTTAAGTGACTGAATGGTGGATGACTTGACAACATTAAAATGGCAAAAATAAACCCATTTCTTTTTAAAAACATATTTATTTATTTGTTTGAAAGAGTTACACAGAGAGAGGAAGAAACAGAGAAAGAGACTTTCCATCCTCTGGTTCATTTCCCAAATGACTGCAACAGCCAGGACTGAGCCAGGCTGAAGTCTGGAGCCAGGAGCTTCATCTGGGTCTTCCATATGGGTGGCAGGGGCCCAAATATTGTACCATCTCCTGCTGCTTTTCTCAAGCCATTAGCAGGGAATTGTAGTGGATCAACCGGGATGCAAATTGGCACCCATATGGGATGCCGGTGTTGCAGACTGCAGCTTTACCAGCCCCAGTCATTCCTTTAATATTACCTGCCAAGAGCATTAATACTGGAATGAATGACTTAAGAGCTGATGGAAACAAAGGCTTCTTGGTGACCTCTTTGCAGAGTTGGAGTGGGAGATTGCCCCACTTTTCTGAACCACCTCTGCTTTTGTAGGTGCTCTAGAAAGCATAATTTTTAAAAGATTGTGTTTATTTATTTAAGAGGTACAGACAGAGAGAGAGAAACAGAGAGAAATGTCTTCTTCCGTTGGTTCACTCCCCAAATGGCCGCCAGGGCCAGAGCTATGCCGATCCAAAGCCAGGAGCCAGGTGCTTCTTCCTGGTCTCCCATGCAGGTGCAGGGCCCAAGCACTTGGGCAATCCTTCGCTGCACTCCCGGGCCACAGCAGAGAGCTGGACTGAAAGAGGAGCAGCTGGGACTAGAACCGGCACCCTTATGGGATGCCAGCGCCGCAGATGGAGGATTAATCTGCTGTGCCATGGCACCGGCCCCCTCTAGAAAGCATATTAACCTACTGAAATCTCTCATCTCATGGGTGCTTTCTTATTTCACTTTCAGTGTTCTGTACTATTGTTTCAGAACAATAGTCAGATGTCAGAAGAAAAGTTCATACAGAAATTATTTATTAAAACATTTTGATTAATATATTATTTTAATACTATTATTGTAATTTAATATTTTTTTTCCATTTTGACTTTTCCAAGTTGGAGATTAAATGAAAATAATAGCATCTTTGTTAATTTGGTAAGAGGTGAGCAAATTAATTTTACTGTGAATTTTTTGACTCCAGAGGCAGATATTCAAACCAATACTTACTTGGTTTTCTTCAACCTTCAATTTGTGTGTCAGCCATCATGCAAGGCTTCAAGTACTTCATAAAGATAAGGACTGTCCTTTTCCTCCAGAGCACTGGCCAAAAAATAATCAGGTAATTAGAATGTATATAGCACTTTCATCTGAAAAACAAACTCACATTAGCCCTGACTCTGTAGGAGTCTCCTTAGATTATCCTTATTACAAAGACAGTGGAAGAATTTTGGCTCCCAGTGACTAGAAAATAGCAGATAATCAATAGTTATTTGCTGAGTATCTATTAAAATTGAAGTTAAATTGATATAAATTGTTTATTTAATCCTCACTGTGTTAATTTAAAAAATCATTTATCATAAAAGCATAATATGTAATGGAATTAAATGAAATATTATAATTCTGTCTTTTACTTCTCATTTTAAAGATGTGATCAGGTTTTGTTTTTTTTTTAAGAGTTATTTATTTATTTGTAAGTCAGAGTTAGAAAGGGAGATGTTTTCCATCTGCTGGTTCACTCCCCAGATGGCCACAATAGCAAAAGCTGAACCAGCCAGAAGCCAGAAGCCAGAAGGCAGGGGCTTCATCTGGTTCTCCCACATGGATTCAGTGATCCAAACACATGGGCCATCTTTCACTGCTTTCCCAGGCCATTAGCAGGGAGCTGGATCAGAAGTGGAGCAGTAAGGATTTGAACAGGTGCCCATATGGGATGCTGGCACTGCAGGTAGCAGCCTTGCCTACAACATGATGCCAGCCCAGTGATCAGTCATTTAGGTGTTTCAAGACCTCACATTTGTGGAGAGTGAGGTGGTTTCAGTATTCTTAAAGGGAGGACTGGGGTAAATATATTCAAAGGGAAAGGTAAAATTAAAGCAACCGTAGCACTGAAAGAAGCCTGAAATCTTTATTATGTCCAGATCAGACCTGAAATTGAACCTGGCCAATGATAGGGTGGCTAGTACTACCAGACTTTACCCCTATCTCATTTCAAATGGGAAGGACTCATTTTATGGAATTTGCTTTGTCTTAGAATGTCACTATTTAGCTCTTGTATGCTCGTCAAATACTGAACTTTTATATAAAAATGTTGATTCTGACTTAAGCCAAATATATGAATTATCTATATAGTGCAAGTTTAATTACTTAATAGTTGTCTGATTTGGTCTATTTTGATGCATTGTTAAAGTCATAATTAAATAGAGATATTCATTTTGTTTAGGAAGCTTCCACCCTCTGTTTTAATTTCTTAAAAATAGTCTATGTTCCTCTCTAGTGGTGGAATTAATTCACACCTTGATTTTTATTATTCACCCAGATGATATCTCTTGCCTCCTGTTGATTTGGGTGATGCTTTGGTTTGTGGAGATTTTATCTTTTTCCACATTATTAGTATTTGAAAGGCTGAGTTGCAGAGAGAGAGAGAGAGAGAGAGAGAGAGAGAGAGAGAATCTATCAGGCTCTATCCACTGGTTCACTCCCCAAATGGCCACAAAGGTGGGAGCTGGGCCAACATGAAACCGGGATCCAAGAGCTTCCTCTAGGTCTCCCACATGGGTGCAAGGGCTCAATCCCTTGGACCATCCTGTGCTACTTTCTCAGGCACATTAGCAGGGAGCTGGATCGGAAGTGGAGCAGCTAGGTCTCAAACTAGCACCAATATAGGATGCTGGCGCTGCAGACAGTGGCTTCACCCACTGTACCACAGTGCATGTTCCAATATGCCATGTTTTATTGTCTCTTTCAACTTCTGTCATGTAAAGGCACTTTTTTGTTTTCATTTCCTCTCTAAGCTTTCCTGTTCCTGAAGTCTCCTTAATTTATTGGGCGATAGAGGGCAAGAGTCAAACAGAAGAAAAGTGAAGTGGAATAAAGCTAATGACCAGTTTATCTTAGAGTCCTCATGCTTAATTTTAATTAGGAAGCCCACAGGGCAGATCCTCTTAGAATGGAACGAGAATGTGTTGTTGATGTTTTAGTTCATAAATTCCTAGGCTGCAGAGACCATGTCTATTTAAATTAAGTGCCCAGCTCAGCACCAGATAAGATGATGATAATGATGTGTGATAAATTAGAGCTGCTATGTGCTTCTTTCTACAATGCCATCCCTTTGTTGTTGTGCTTACATATGCGTGACCTAAGGAAAAGGATTTGCTTCTCTATATTTACATCAGCAAACTGGGGTGAACAGCAGAGATGAAAAATAATTTGTCCAAACTGCCAGTCAAACAATAAAAAAAGACCTAGAAGCTGTTTCCCAAAGGTTTATCTACTAAGTTACGTGTACCTTGAAGAAGGTGAAGTATTAACATTCCTAGGGAACATAGGTAGTTATGAGTCCTAAATCCCTGTGAGAATAAATCCTCTATTTTCTTTAGTTATTCTGGTTCTTCCACCTAATCGTCAAAGTAAGTCAAATGTAAATCACCATGGCTCTGTTTTCTTATTATCAAGTCCGTTGGAACCTATCAGAATTGAATCATGTATATTTGACTTGAGTTAAATGAATTCATTGTCTGCCTCTGCTTAGCTTCTAAATATGGCCATGATTGTATTTTGATATCCGGCTTCATCTGTTTTGTGTTGCAAAACACCTGAGGCTGAGTACTCTGTAAAGAAAAGAGGTTTATTTAGTTCATGGTTCTGGAGGTCAGAAGCATGGTTCTGATGGATGTACAACTTCCAGTGAGCGCCTTGGAGCTGTCCAGTTCATTGTGGAAAAGCAGACAGTGGGAGCAGGCACAAGTGGAGGAGCATGTGCTCAAAGAGACCGAGGGAAAGTGCCTGCCTCACTTCATAAAAAACACTCTCAAGGTAACTTAGGAGAGCAAGCAAGAACGGACTGTTGGAAGAAAAGCCTTAGTCTCTCTTCAGGCCTCAACAGCTCTCCACACTGTACCCCTGGGAGGCAAGCCTCACTATGAGTTGTGGTGGAGACCACATTAAGAGCATGGCAGTGCTCCACCCAGTGTGGGCTTATTTGCATGTGTGCACTTTCCAGTCCCAAAAGGCCATGGGCAGTGGGTGAAGTAACTACATCCCTATATACATACCTGGGATGGGAGAAAGCCTCCTGCCATGCCCTCTGAATGCATGATATACATCTTTTTCTTTCAAGTCCCTGTCTTCAAATACTTTAGTTTTCAAAAATATTTCCTACTGACTTTTTTTAAGATAAAGAATTAATTACCTGATAATGAGTATAGTTTCTTTTCATCAAGAAATGCCTTCTTTTTCTAGAGATCTGTCATTTTTTGTGTTTTATAATAAAATTTAATTATTAATAAATATATCTGTTATATAATGTTTCTTCTCCAGTAAAGTATAATATTATGTCTTTGTACTGCATAGATCCTTCCATAAACATATTTTTATTGTACTATTTTCCCCAAATATTAGTGAGTTAGGTGCAGTTCAGTGTTATTAAGTTGTGAATTTAAGATTGCATAGAAGCAGAATCAAGCTGAGTTGGCTTAGAATAATTTGAGGAGAGCTTATGTAGCACAATGCAAATCAAATGAAATGATAAACAACCAGGAAAACAATGTGTTATTGTAAGGTATTCATCTGGAGAAAATATTGTTATATACTCGCTGAATGACACAAATGACAACAATGTGGAGATAAAGGATTATTTTACAGCTTTATATTTTAAAGAAAGACTATTTTTTAAATAGTCTTTTAAATGACATTCCTTTATCATATTGGGGTGACCCAAGGAACAAGGACAGAACTTTGTTGGATAATATGATGTGTGTACTGCTGGAGTAAGACTGCAATTTCTTGCTGCATTTGATATTTCTTTCATGGGACTTAATACATTAGAGAAATTGTATGATCATGAATTCTTTAATTGAGAAGAGCTACTTCAGAACTGCCATGAAGGAAAAATAAAACTTATTGCATATACATTTCCCACTGGAAAGCCATCCTAAGGGGTATTAACCCTCACAGTTTTTTTTAAAGACTCCTTCCAATAATGTTTCACAACAAATATATACATAATGCAAAATTTTACTTAAAATGCATATATCCCCCAGCTTCCCTTGTTAAACAGCCCAGACCTGGCTAGAGAAACTTACTATGAAGGAGTCTCATTTTGTTTTTTCCCTATGCAAAGATTTCTCTTATTTCTGTGGTTGTTTCTCTTTAAATGTATGCTATTTTTCACAAGAGGGGAACATTAGAAAGTATGTATGAACTAATTTATACCCATTATTAGTATGATATCAAATCCACTCAATATTAACAGCAGCTACATGGAGACATCTTAAATGCACAGGAAATCTCATTGTTAATAAATGTTATTAATTTTTAACCTTGTTACTTAGCACTCTGAGCTATCTGTGGGTGAAAAAATGGTAATACTAATATTTATAGTGATTTTATTTGGAACTTGTATAGTGCTATACCATTTTCAGTAACAAAGAAGGAGAGTAAAAGAAATCATCTCTCACTTTTAATAAGTTGACTTATTATAAATTTTCAGGGATTTTTTTTTAAGATTTCACACATACAATGATTTATGCAAACCCAGGAGTAAATGATATTCTTAGAATCCACTAGGTAAATGTCCTATATCTGTCTATTCCTTCTTCTCTAGAATATCAATATCTTTGGCATGACAAGACATGAAATCCAGCCATTAGGATGGGCTGTATAGTCTGCTCAGTTCTTGAGATCCTTGCTTAATTTACCATCAGAACATCAATTTCAGTGGTTCCTGTTTGGGTGGTTGATTTAGACATTGTTTGCTCCATAGGAATAAACTGAGATTGCATAGTTGTCTCATATCTGCTCCTATGCTAGTATTATTCAGATTTTTCTAATTCATGTATTTGAATGGACAAGATAGAAATGAATTCATCTTGTCACTGATAATTTTTCTTCTAATGTAATTGAGGAATGGATACAGTTTTTTGTAGTTAAGCTAATGATGTTGATTTGTACTTGGCAGACTTAAAATACTGTTAGTCTTTACATTTCTATACTAGTAACAGTTTCTATCCAAATTCCTTTAGGATAATATTCACTTATAAAAATGGTTTATAGAACCTTGGAATGAGGCCACTAACAATTCTACCTTTAAAAGCATCCACATAAGTAATAATCCATTCAGTG